CGAAGAGTAAATTCTAAGATTTGAACTTATACTTTATGTAGCGCGGCGGCAATGTTTGTTTTGTTTTGAAGCATTGATCAATGATTGTGACCGTTATTTGACGACTACTTTAAGCTGATTGGTTGATTTTAGATTCCATTGTTTTTCTAACCAATCAGATCAGTTTGTTACAGAATTTTGCACTGTTGTTTGAGATTAACTGCACTGAAATCAACCAATCACAGTCCAGTAACATTTTTATGTATATTATTATGTATTAAAGTATATGATTTAATGTGTATTTGTTGCATGAGTATTATTAATATAAAATTTAGAAAGATTGAAACTTTTCCGTGTATATACGTACGTATGAAGAACGCTTAACTATAGGTCTCCCGAAAAGGTCTCCCGTACATAAACATCGAAAACTCGCTATGATCAGGCTAACTTTAACACTTCTACAATGTACTTTTTGTTTTCTCACCACATTAAAACGAGTGAATTTTGCGAAAATTCATCAATTTTTTCGACATTTTTGACTCAATTTTGTCAAAACTATGCGGGATGACGACTGCCGGCCCGACGTCACCAGATAAAGCTTTCTGAATGGCTCGGATTTCAGCCAGACAATCAAAAAGCTTTCGCTTGTGACATAAGACTGGCAGCCGTCATCACGGATATATATTTTTTTCAACCTTGGGGAATACCTTTTCGGGAAAGCTCGACCACGTATATCAAGTATATCACTACTAAACGTACTAAATATTTCTTATTACGATTTCACCAGTGTGCAGACGAAGAAATAGTTGAACATTTTAAGAAAGGTACTTCGAGATAATATTTTTTTCTCCGAAATTTCACGGAAAATTGGTATGTACTTTATGTAACCCTACATGAATTAGGGTTAATTCGCGTTGATGGAAACGTCAGTATATAACTCCTGCATGCCCTAACAGTGAAAATTTGTTTCAAGATCTCCTTACTATGGAAATAGTATGGATCTCATCTGAAAATAGTATGGAAATCCAATTTTCATACTAATAGCATTTAGTATAATTTTAGTATTGAAAAATGGCCTTAGAGCATTCCGATTGGCTCCCTCAGCATTTAGTATGAGGCAATAATTACTGCTCAGACTGCTTTGAGAGTAATGCTTCCCCCACCCCACCCCCCTTCCCCCCAAAAAAGATGACTGAAAACAGATGGAAGTAAATTATTTATTCAAATTTTATTTATAAAATAAACACGGCATTAGTTGTATCTATAAATAAAACTTTTTCAATACTGAAATTACACTATACTAAAATTTCGGGCTCGGTGATTACAAGCCTATATTCACTTCGCCTTCGGCTCAGTGAATATAGGCTTGTAATCACCGAGTCTGAGGCGACTAATTGTTAAGTGGATATACTATGGATTTGGTGATGCAATCGCAATTTTTTGCCATGAGCTAATTCAGAGTTTCGAGCGCGCATCAAATGACGCGTTTTGCGCGTCGGGATAAAGTGCAGTTAAAACTGTAACATGTAAACTGTAACAAAGTATTCCGCTGTTCAATCATGGCTACGTTTACACAATACCGGATAGCTTTCCGTTGTGGCGCGAAAAAGCACCTGTCCGGTACGTAATGTACAACTTCCAGAGCGAAACGAAGTCTCTCCGTTTCAATAATTCCTCTGAACGTTACGTTCCTAAATGGGACGGATAGGTGGGTTTTTCCACCCCGCTACGGAAAGCTATCTGTTACAGTTTAAACGCAGCCTATTTACAGGGTGTATAAAAAACTGCACAGTTCGAAAATGTTCGTAAATTCCGCAAAAAATTGTGAAAACTTTATGCATGCATGAGTAGTTAGGGGCCAGGTAGCATCTTTACCACTAAAATTTTCCAGTGCAGAAAGATTGTTCTATTGAGTTCAAACATTTGTTCTATTGAGTCTAGATGCCCAAAATCGTATTATCTTTGGCCCTGTTCGCATGATCCCGGCATAAACTACTGCCCCGCGACAAGACTCTGGTACTGATATCTGCTGTTCACATGAGCAAAGCTAGCGCGGGGCATGCTTATAAACAAATCATGCGGGAATCATATAAATATTCCCACCAACGTGAAACGGTGAAATATTGCTAAATGAAAAACATTCTGATAAACGCCGGTCGTATTTTATGTTACGATATTTACAAATAGAACATAGTTGACTGTCAGCCGTAGTAAATCTGTTTCTGGTCCCGGCTAGGTGAGTGTCCCTGTCTACAGAGGCGAGTCGCCATGGTCAATTTTTGTCCCGGGAGAAGTAAAATGTCATGTGAACAGCACTACTCTTATTAAGGAGCCGAGACAATTTTTGTCCCGCGACAATTGCTTGCCCCGCGATATAAAGCTGTCCCGGGTAATAATTGTCTTGAGCGGGATTTTAGGATTTTAGGGCCTACTTTTAGGAAAATAAGGCCTACAGTTTTGACATCAACGAGTCAAAACTATCCCACCACAATTTTTTTTTGCTATACTTCAGCTGTGGAGTACTTGAAGACCCAAGGAGCGAATGTCGTCCCAATTCAAATCCCAGAACTAGAGGAAAGCCGTATTGCACATGGTTTAACCATTAGTTCTGAAATCACGTTTGCCGTTGAGAATGAATACCCAGATCAAACTGATAAACTGGTAAGATATCATTTTATTTACAATTCAACTCGAAATTCGTGCATGCAGCAACCCCTCGCCTATATTGTCCAAACATTGATTTAACATGAACTATTCGTAATTGGCCAACACTGAACCAGGGCCGTCCCCAGGAAATTTTTCGGGGGGGGGGTGGAAGGTCATTTCAACCGACTGACGAACGAGCTTGTACCGACCGTATGCTAGCCATAGAAGCTTGTAAAATTTCCGATGGAGGTCAACTAAATTCAGAAACCGCGGTCCCATTTTTGGATCAAGGGGGCTATAGCGAACGCCAAAGGCGTGAGTGTGTTAGAGAGGTCCGGGGGCATGCTCCCCCGGGAAATTTTGAAATCTGAGACCTCCCAGAACCCCCGAAATGCAATCAAATTTACTAGTTGCTGTTAAAAAGTTTCTTAATTAATAGATGACTCTTAATCTAACATTACCCATCATTTGTTTAATTCAACCAGAAATAGATTGAATACTTGGCTATGTAAGTTATAAATATATTTTTTAACTGATCTGAAAGATTTCAGTATTCCTAGTTTATAAAAATCACATATGTACGGAATTGTTGCCCCCCCCCCTGCTCCGCGGTCCCTAAAGTTACGCCCGTTGTGCTCTAAATGAAGCCTGTTCTAAATTCCCATGTTTGATAATTGAGTTTTTGGCGGGAATATATAGTGTTCAGTGGTTCTACCTATCAAACATGCTACATATACTTCATTTGAGATCTTTTGTATCGCTATGTGGTTTGACTGTCAATCTGGGCTTGTTTTACTATAAATCGATTATAATGATTATCCTGCTGAGTAAATTTCGAGTAGCCAAAATTTCCATTTTTTATATAACAGGTGAAAATCATATCGATAGTAGTTTTATTCGTCAAAAATATTTTTGTCTGCCGACTGAAATCGCAGTCCTGCCGACTGAAGCCTGGAATATAATTTCTGGGGGTGTCCCCCCCCCCCACACACACACACACACGCACGCACGCACGCACGCACTCAAGCACGCACACACACACCCGTAGCTCCGGGCCTGCACTGAACGCAGGCTCGCGTTGTGGCGTCATGTGTTACGTTACGATGTTTTTAATTTTGTTTTATATTTTTTGGACAAAACGGCAAAATAGGTATGTAGAATATACTGTAGATGTTTTTGTGAAATGTTCATTGCCTTCATTCAACTGCTTTCGCACCTGAAACTGTTAAGTGGTTTCAGTTCGTTCTTCAAATTAATTTACTCTCCTTTACATTTTAAGTTGTTTTCTTAGATTAAACATGTTAATTTAAAAAATTTACAGCTTCATTCAAAGATAGGCACTGCAAGTTTTACTGTTTTTGGCCAAATTCGTAAACATTAAATATTCAAACTTGCCCTATATTTCACGATTTCACATAAAAATTGCTTCAAAGCTCATTGTATGAAACGGTTTTTGAAATGTTTTTGAAAATTGAAATCTTGCTTATCCCACCTCTGGCAAACATCCACATTTCTGAGATCATTGAGATAACCCTCCCCCCCCCATGCGCCCGCGATTATTGATGAACTTTAGACTTCGCCGTAATGCTATTCTTTCCCCGGGTGTAAATAGCTGAATGGAATTTGAACCCTTGCCCTGGGAACGGCGAAGAGGGAGGACGTGTGACAGATGCGGTTAACTTACCGCCCTTAACTGCTGCCACGCCATGATTTGCAATGATTCGTCAAAATGCTATCGCCATGTTCCTAGCCAGTGCGCTTACGAGAGGCGTAAAAATAAAAAAAATTAAAAAATACGCCTGAAAATATTCAAAATGACTGGGAAAAGAGTGTCGTATTTGTGTCTAAGTGTTATAATGTCTGTTTTTCAAGAACCCAGACTCATTTCTCATTACAAATCTCCTCCACGAATTCTCGCCAATGGATTACTATATGGTAAGTGCATGTGCACAGTATCCTGTATTGTGCTTCAGCTACTGCAGTTTCGTCAAACGTATATAGGGGTCCAGTGTAGATGGTATTCTACAATACGCTGCCGTGGTTTCTGTCTGAACTACCTGATAAAGATTTCAAATGTGGGTCTGTAGGTAGAAGGATCTTGTAGATGGAAATTATCGAGTGGAAATTTATATAGAGAATAATACATGGGTGCTTGGAAATACCAGATTTATTTCTCGTGTTGAACATGATATCTCACGAGTGAGCGCAGCTAACGAGTGAGATCATGTTCAACACGAGAAATAAATCTGGTATTTCCAAGCACCCATGTATTTTTCTGTTTATTATATAAAGAACAATCTTTGAAAAGCGATAATTTTTACGGAAAAGCGATAATTGAAAAGCGATAATTTTCACATGTGAGATTATCATGAATAATCTCACATGTGAGATTATCACTTTTATCAGTGCTCGAAATCTCTATAAAGCACTATACTTTATATAATAAATACATTTATTAGACCTAACCAGGCTGGTAATATATGGTACTGCCATGTTTAGGTTATGGGTAAATATCGAGATTTGTTGGCATCTCAAATCGATTCAGAAAGAATTAGGGTAAATACCTGATAAAGATATCTCAAACGTGATGGTCCAGTGTAGGTGGTATTCTATACAATAAGCTGCCTTGGATTGTGTCTGAACTATATCTTAAAAAGATTAACAATACTTACACATTCCGACCGAAGTCTGACTGTTTTAACCTGTTTCAGATATGATAAAACAACACTCATTATATTTAAAATATCATTAATAATTCATGACGAAAATTCAAAAGAAATGAATGTTTAATCAATGTTTGTAAATCGGATAAAGATTTATCCTGATTTACATAAGCTTTAAAATTACTTCGCCAATGAACTCGTATGATGGGTCGTTTCTTAAGTACGTTAAAACATTCGCATCCGATCTTTATCTGATATACTAACGCCCGTATTCTAAAAGCTCACTCACACTCACACTCAATGAGTGCAGGTTCAATCTGAGCTTCTCTTGAGTGTAAATGCTGTTTTTCAATAGCTGGAGGGTGAGCAGTCACATAGTAAGGTACGACACTAACCCTCCATGCAGCTATTCAAAATCAGCATTTACACCCAAGAGAAACTCAAATTGAACCTCCACTCATTGAGTGCGAGTGTGAGTGTGAGTGAGCTTTTAGAATACGGGCGTAACCCTCGCCTTCGGCACGAGTTTGTATAATATCAGATAAAGATCGGCTGTTCATGTTTTAACTAGTACATAATTATGAAAGCGATTTTAATCATTTTATTGTGATTTCAGGGTCAAAAGCAACGAACTCGTGCCATTGAATTTATGAAATCAATATTTAAGAATGTTGATTGTATTTTGACTCCAGGTAAGAACCTGTCATTTTTGCTTTTCAAAAATCAGTGGCACATGTAGATTTGTAAGTGGTTGTGTGCTAATCATCCTTACTTGTAGCTGAAAGCTAACTAAAGCTGAATAGCGAAAGACTCAGCTCAACCTAATCAGGGCCTTAAAATATGTCAACATAATTACTACATGTTATGGAGAACAATGAGATTTTTAAAGCAATTGAAAGACAATCGAACATTTCGATCACTGGATCGTGACTCGATGGCATAATTGTTATACAGGGTGTCCTAAAAAAAAGAAAACTATTGAAATGAATATATTGTTAGAATTTGAATGCCTCAGCACTCTGTTGAACCCGCACGTGCATCAAAGCTTGACGTAAGTAAATTTTATGCATAAAGAAACCGTTTAAGAAGCTGTTTTAAATTCCCAAGAGCAGAAAATCGTGCGCTTTACAAAGATATTTTAATTTCGTAATAAGTCAATATATAATATATGCACCCTTGTCAATATTTTACGCATCTTTGCGTTCAGCTGAGTGCTAGCGCATTCAAATTTTAACAATACGTTATTCCAATGGTTTTGCGTTTTTTTGGGACAGCCTGCATGTATATGCTAGGAGTGTGTTGCAAGGACCTGCATTTCTAAGAACTCTCGTAATTCTAGGTTGTGCTTGTACTGCGAAGAAAATTCCAGATAATTCTCATCAATACGGAATGAGTGATATTAGCACCACATTTCAACACATCAGGTGAGCGACAGGCAGTTAATAAATGTTTAATACAGTTGTTTACACATTGAATACCTCCCTAATTATCTAAATTGAAATGCGTATTAGAGAATATATACATTTTACCGTCAAAAGGTATCAATACTTGTACAATAGTAAGTTTTACAATATTATATACCAATAAGCCGGCCGGACTTTAAAGATTAAAATAACCATAAAGTCAGCTACGATGAAATGTATATCTAAAAATGTAACCTTACTCTAAAAGGCAATTCCTTAAGTAGATTTGTTATAGAAGTCAGTTAAGAAACTATAGAACTATTTCTATAGCTTGCCGCACACGAGAGTAACTTGCTGAACTAGCCGCCACGCGAGAGGTGCATTCTCAAACCAAGTGTGTGCTCTGAAAGGCCAGGTGAAAGTGCTGCTGACATTTAAGCATCCCCAGGACCACTCCGCTAGGATGGGTTCGGTCTTCTGCACATATCTGTTGTTGAGTTATCCCAGTGATTGGCAGGTCACTCTTTTTCGCAAAGGTGTCGTCAACCCATTTCTTATTAACGGCAGAGTGATCATCCGCAGGGACTGGTAAGTTCTCTGTTGCGTTATTACTCATATCGATTACACCAGTCATAGTAAAGCCGCTCAAACTCATGGTTAACACATGACTTCTTACTATAAACTGCGTCTCTATACAGACTATCGTGTGCGGATAGTGTTCGTGACGACGTCTTGAGGAAATCCGTCTCGACGTCTCGTCTTTGCATTTAATGCTGTATCTTTGCAATGAATGTTGTACCTTCTCAATTAACTGTTATTCCTTCTCAATTAATGTTGTACCTTCTTAATGCTGTACATTCTCAGTGTTGTACCCAGCTTGTGTTGTACCTATCTGTACCTTCTCAATCTTCTCACTATATCCAGTATCCATGCAGTCCTTGTTTAAGATGAGTGTATTTTCCCACTATAGGTTTCATTTCTTGGGCAACATAACAGGTGTCCCAGGAGTCGTTGTGCCGGTTGGGTATAACGATCAAGGTTTACCAATAGGAGTCCAGGTTATGACGTCGTGGTGGGAGGAACATGTCGCGTTGCGTGTTGCACATTCTCTAGAGGGATTGGCACCTAGAAAGGAACCGCAGGTGCATTTCAATATTCTGAATCCAAAGAAGAGAAAGTAACTTAAGATATGAGTGTTAGTTAAATTTTCCTTGTTTACCTGGTAATAACACCATTTGAGTTAATTCCTGGTTAGATTTCCAATTTGTCTCACTTCCTACCATAGTGTGGTTAATGTAACCAGGAATCCAGTTATACAGTAAGACCCCGCGTATAAGAACCTAGCTAGATTTTAAGAACCTGTTAGGCTAAAATTGCTTAATATTTAGACCCCCTTTATACAAGAACCTGTTTAGGCCAAAATTTCAAACAGGTTCTTATTTTATTTTTATCACTCTAAGATTTGAAACTAAAAATGTATAAATCAAAGAAAACAAAACTCTTCACAAAGTAATGAAAATAACCCAGAAGTCAGAATCTTGGACATGTCATAACATAACTTAACATAACATAACATAACATAACATAACATAACATAACATAACATAACATAACATAACATAACATAACATAACATAACATAACATAACATAACATAACATAACATAATAAATAACATGTCTGTAATCGAAGATGAGTCGTTATTTCTTTAGAAAATAAGAACCTGTTTAGTCAAATTGCGCGATAAGCACCATTTATATAAGAACCTGTTTATAGGCTTACTTGAAAAATCTAGCTTCTTGTACGCGGGGTCTTACTGTATTTAACCAAGATGACCTTGTCAAAATAACCAGACCATGTTAGGTGGATATATAACCTAGTTATTCATCCACCTAACGTAGTCTGGTTAATTTAACCAGGGTATCATGGTAAAATTAACCAAGAAATAATCAGGAATATTAGGTTTGCCAAATAGGCTTTTTCTAGGTTAACCAGAGAAATTTTAACTGAGTGTTTTACAGTGGAGAAAAAACTATTATTTTTCAATACAATAAAACGCCGCATACAAGAACCTAGAATTTAAGAAAGAACCTTTTAGGTTAAAATATTTTATTTAGACCCCTTTTAAATAAGAACCTGTTCAGGCTAGAATTTCAAAACAGATTCTTATATTATCAAATAGAGTCAAAATTAAGTCGTATAACTTACAGTATGCAGTGTAGCTTTAAAGTGCATATAGGGTTGGTATGCACTGTCATTTTTTAGATTTGTGCGTAATTTATATAAATCATAATCATACTACTCTAAAATGAGTCGCTTTTCTCTTAAGAATATAAAAACCTATTTAAGAACCTGTTTAAGCATCATTTACATGTAAGAACCTGTTTAGGCTAACTTGAAAAATCTAGGCTCTTATGCCCAGTAAGTATATTTAAATTTATGCCTTAAATGTAGTCTTAGCTTTTACAATCTAGAGTCGGTATATTTTAAACGCAAACGAATCGAGAAAATTTAAAACATATGGCAAGATATAGAATTTACATTACAATTAACGGAACGATTTATGATCCTTACAAATAATTAATGTATACAGGCTGATTTTTATACGTCTACAAAACTCTTAACTCCTTTAGCTGTGTGGTTTTTTCATGACGCCAAGGCCCGATTTAGATGCCGTACTTCGCATAAGCCGAACTTTATGCAACGAATGCATCCGTATTTTGCTTCCCTTTGTTTTTGGCGAGGTAAAGCACGGCAGTTCGCAACACTGTTCTTCTCAGGGAACAGTGGTCATTAAGATATTATGCAACAATTTTCTTCTTGTTTTGTTCCCCGCAAACATTTTTCTTATCAAAATAACCCTTATCCGTCCAGGCGTCATGCTTGGTTTGTGTAGCGAGAACTACGAACATCGTGTGATATATATTTCAAAATGACCGCCATTTTTGTTGCCATGAACGTCACTCTCCCGAGAATTGGAGGGAACTAGAGAAGCCGCACAGTTAATATGGTATAGATGTCATATAACGTATAAAATGCATGACGTCAAACGCGGAAAACCAATTTATGCGTTGTCCCATGGGATAACTTTTAGCGAGAATTTAGTAACGATTCACAGTGCAAGTCGTTGGCGAACCAATAAATTTCATAAAAACATCACATTTTAAAAGTGTTTTTCCGCGTTTGACGTCATCATAAGAAAGGTCTATTAAGTACGGCTCACGAAAAGCACGAATGTTTGAATCAAAATTAAATATACGTCTATTTTAGTCGACTAAAATATGTATTTGAGTTCGGCTCATGAAAAGTACGGCGTCTAAACCGGGCCTAAGATATTTGGTCACTGCAATAATTTCTTGAAGTTTTTTTTAAATAACCTTCAACTTGTTGCGAGCCTGTTGGCTTCATCGACCTTGTCGACCATTGGCTAGTATCCAAAGCCAAACTCAGGTTTAGCAAAAGTCAAGATTAAGATATTAAGACCAAAATCTGTTAAGGAGATCAAAAAGAGATGATTAATTACATAGACCTTATGCATAATGACGTCAGAAGGCTTGGTGTCAGCGAGGAATGCTGGCCTTTCGATAGTGTCCATTTTGAATTGTTTTTAATCTTCCCGGGCGATGACTACTAAGACCAGCATTCCTCGCGGGCATCAATCCTTTTGACGTCATTATGCATAAGGTCTATTGATTTTGTGTTTACAACAGAAAGTTCGTCTGAACTGTATCAGGAGTGATATTGTTTAAATATTAAATGAACATGCACACATGAGGATTTCAACAAATTTAAATCATAGATATCTTATATACACTAGATAGTGCATCTAATTATTCTGCAATTCAAAAATTGAAGTCGTGATTGCAGACTCAGGATATTCCCATGAAATGAGAAGACTCATATGTTTTCTATTTCTTAAACAGCGAACTTAAACATTAAGTTAAACCTATTCCAAATACATTTTCAAACTGTTCAAATGATGAAAGTTATTGTTGTTTTTTAAGCGTTTATTAGCGAGTGGGAAACTCCAACATGGCCGCGCCATCTATTCAAATGGGGGTAACCGCTGGAATATTCTTAGCTTCAATTTTACTTAAAGAGATGCGCTATGTAGTGTATATAAGATATAATTATATTATTTAAATGCACTGCAGTCTGCAGCGTTATTCAGCATTCTAGTAATATAAAAGAGAAATGGTCAGATTCATATTCGAGTTGTCAAATAATTGCTAGAATATTGTCTTAAATTGAGAAATAAAATTCATTTACTACAAGGTGTTAAGCCCTGGACAAACTAGGAAACATTTTTGCGGAAACATTGTTTCCTACCAAGGCATGTTTTGCTATGTTTCCAAGACTGGGCAAACAGTGAAAAACATAGGGATAGCTAGCCAGGGCAACTAGTCATGCTATACTATTAATTTCCAAAATTAACCCAGGTACTGATAAGTTGTTTTGCTATCTTGTTCATTTGCTCTATTTCAAATTTTTTAATGGTATAACGTTTTCGTAATTGAAACCATTCTGTTGCATATATATATATATATATATATATATATAGTTTTTCGTTTTACCTCAAAGAACCACAACAGTCTGTTTCATCCGTATAGGAATCATCAGGTGGTGAATAATTTCGAAATTGTAGGTTGCTTTTATGCTATCGAAAGAATGTTCGGAATGCGTGTAGGCGAAACAATGCTTAGGTGAAACAATGCATGCTTGGGTCATTAGGTTTTGTTAACGACCTTGTTTACTCGAAACCGGTTTTTGTGACGACATTTGCCGAAAATTTCGCTTCTTTTATTGAGTAAATTGTCTTTGTTTATGTCTTTAAATAAATTTTTCTAAACATAAATATATATATATATATATATATATATATATATATATATATATATATATATATATATATATATTTATATCTTAAAATTAATTATTGCTACTCAAGTTTCACTCCTTATTCAAGACGATCTTCAGGCAATACTCTGCTATTCATTTTTCATTCATTTAAATTCTATGTTTCGAAGAGTAAATTCTAAGATTTGAAGAGAAAATTCTAAGTTTGAAGAGTAAACTCCAAGATTTGAAGAGTAAATTCGATATTTAGAACAGTAAATTCTAAGATTTGAAGAGTAAATTCTAAGTTTTGAAGACTAAATTTTAAGTTCGGAAGAGTAAATTCGATATTTGGAAGAGTAAATACTAAGTTTTGAAGAGTAAATTCTATGTTTCGAAGAGTAAATTCTAAGATTTGAAGAGAAAATTCTAAGTTTGAAGAGTAAATTCCAAGATTTGAAGAGTAAATTCGATATTTGAAGAGTAAATTCTAAGTTTTGAAGAGTAAATTCCAAGATTTGAAGAGTAAATTCGATATTTAGAAGAGTAAATTCTAAGATTTGAAGAGTAAATTCTAAGTTTTGAAGACTAAATTTTAAGTTCCGAAGAGTAAATTCTAAGATTTGAAGAGAAAATTCTAAGTCTTGAAAACTAAATTTTAAGTTACGAAGAGTAAATTCGATATTTTGAAGAGTAAATTCTAAGTTTTGAAGAGTAAATTCTATGTTTCGAAGAGTAAATTCTAAGATTTGAAGTGAAAATTCTAAGTCTTGAAGACTAAATTTTAAGTTCCGAAGAGTAAATTCGATATTTTGAAGAGTAAATTCTAAGTTTTGAAGGGTAAATTCTATGTTTCGAAGAGTAAATTCTAAGATTTGAAGAGTAAATTCGATATTTTGAAGAGTAAATTCTAAGTTTTGAAGGGTAAATTCTATGTTTCGAAGAGTAAATTCTAAGATTTGAATAGAAAATTCTAAGTTTGAATAGTAAATTCCAAGATTTGAAGAGTAAGTTCGATATTTTGAAGAGTAAATTCTAAGTTTTGAAGAGTAAATTCTATGTTTCGAAGAGTAAATTCCTAGATTTGAAGAGAAAATTCTAAGTTTGAAGAGTAAATTCCAAGATTTGAAGAGTAAATTCGATATTTAGAACAGTAAATTCTAAGATTTGAAGAGTAAATTCTAAGTTTTGAAGACTAAATTTTAAGTTCAGAAGAGTAAATTCGATATTTGGAAGAGTAAATACTAAGTTTTGAAGAGTAAATTCTATGTTTCGAAGAGTAAATTCTAAGATTTGAAGAGAAAATTCTAAGTTTGAAGAGTAAATTCCAAGATTTAAAGAGTAGATTCGATATTTAGAACAGTAAATTCTAAGATTTGCAGAGTAAATTCTAATTTTGAAGGCTAAATTTTAAGTTCCGAAGAGTAAATTCGATATTTTGAAGACTAAATTCTAAGTTT